AATAGAGACGGGGTTTCACCATGCCGACCAGGATGGTCTCGATCTCTTGACCTCGTGATCCACCCGCCTCGGCCTCCCAAAGTGCTGGGATTACAGGCGTGAGCCACCGCGCCCGGCCTACATAAACTTTCTTACACTGTCCGAACCCTTCTGCCACTTGCTTTTCTCTACCTGTGTTTGGTTTGTGAGGTTCCTCCCGGGCGGAGGCTGTCTGGCTCTGCTGTAGAGCTCACCCCTGCAGGCAGGACGGCTGTTTATTGAGCCAACATTCCTGGGTAGGAATTTGATGGATGCATAGGTGTTTCTGGCATTGCATTCCAGCGGAGTTTTACCAATGCGTCCTGGTGCCTGCGGTCTCCTTCTCCACCTACGACCTGGACATCCATTCATTCCTCACCAAAGATCACTGGGCACTGGGCATGGAGACACATCAGGGGAACAACCCCCGGAGCTCCTCCTAGAGCTGACATTCCTCCAGTCCTGGAGACAAACAGTACACAAAATGCAATAAAATATCAGCCGGGCGCAGTGGCTCACACCTGTAATCCCAGCACTTTGGGAGGCTGAGGCGGGAGGACCCCTTGAGGTCAGGAGTTCGAGACCAGCCTGGCCAACATGGTGAAACCCCCGTCTCTACTAAAAATACAAAAATTAGCCGGGCGTGGTGGCAGGTGCCTGTAATCCTAGCTACTTGGGAGGCTGAGGAAGGAGAATTGCTTGAACAGGGAAGGCAGAAGTTGCAGTGAGCCGAGATCGTGCCACTGCACTCCAGCCTGGGTGGGAGAGAGAGACCTGGTCTCAAAAAATAAAATATCTGCTACATCAGATGGTAGGTTTAAATGCTGGGGAGAGGCTGGGCACAGTGGTTCACATCTGTAATAATCACACTTTGGGAGGCCAAGGCTGGAGGGTGGCTTGAGCCTCCCAGTTTTGAGTTTGAGACCAGCTCGGGTAACATAGTGATATCCCAGCTGTACAAAAAATTAGTCATGTTTCTTATTTATTTATGTAGAGACAGAGTGTTGCTCTGTCGCCCAGGCTGGAGTGCAGTGGTGCCATCTCCGTTCACTTTAACCTCTGCCTCCCAGCTACAGGCAATTCTCCTGCCTCAGCCTCCTGATTAGCTGGGATTCCAGGCGCCCACCACCACACCTGGCTAAATCTTGTATTTTTTAGTAGAGAGCGGGTTTCACTATGTTGTCCAGGCTGGTCTCGAACTTCTGACCTCAGGTGGTCCACCACCCGCCTCTGCTTCCCAAGTGCTGGGATTACTACGCCGGCCTGTCCGTGTCCTTATTCGAGGTCCCTGTTCTTCCAGGGTTCTGAGCTGAGGCGCCCCCCCTCCCAGACTGCCGGTATCCCCGGGGAGGGCGCAGCTGGCCCTGGCAGGGCCCGGACACCTGGGGCCCGACTCACCTCTGCGAACTCGGCGGTGTCTCCTTCCCGGGCGGCTCGGGTTCCCGGATCCCCTTACCAGGCCGTCTCGGCTGTCGCGCCCTGGGCCGGGGGAGGGGAGGCTGCAGGAAGCCGCGGATCCGGCGGCGGCGGCGAGGGCCCGGTGGGTGGCCGAGCTTCTCCCGCCATGGAGAGCGCAGCGGCCCGCGAGGCCCGGGGCGCCGAGACCCCGCGCGCGCCCGCGCCCCCGCCCTCGCCCTCGGAGCCCCCGGCCGCGCCCCGCGCCCGCCCGCGCCTGGTCTTCCGCACGCAGCTGGCGCACGGGAGCCCCACGGGCAAGATCGAGGGCTTCACCAACGTCCGCGAGCTGTACGCCAAGATCGCCGAGGCCTTCGGGATCGCGCCCACTGAGGTCAGGCTCCCGGACACCCGCGCCCGAGGCCACCCGCGTGATGGGGTGAGGGGTGGGGAGAGCTTGGGCCCTGGACGGGAGACCCCAGATCCCCGGATCCCACACGTCGGGATGGCCGCGTAATCGCCGGATCTCAGAGACACAGCCCTCAGGTCCCGGGGTGCCACACCTCCAGGGCCCCCTTTGCACGCTCTGCCCAAAAGATGGGCAGATCTTAGGGCTAGGGGACCCCTAGATATTCTAGAAAATCCCCTGCGCAGACCTCGCTTGGAGCGGATCCCAGCAGCCCTCGGAAAAGCGCCTCTGTGCTTCCTGGACATAGCTGGGGTCTGGGATTCCAGGGGCCCCCCGCTTAAAGGTGGGAAGTCTGAGGCCGCGGTGGGGGTGGGGGTTGGAGGGGTCCTGGGCGTTTTTCCAATCCAGGTTCGTTGGGTTTGCAGCCCCCAGGGGGCGCTAGCAGATTAAACCTGGAGGTCTGGGGGCTGGAGGGCCGGGGGTCTGGACAGGGGTCTCGACCTGCCGGAAGCCTCCTTCTCCCTCCTCTTTCCATTGTGGGGGTCCCATGCCCTGCCCTTTCCCATGACCTGGGCTCCTTGTTGCTGGAGGCAGGGAGGGGCCTGCGTAGACAGGGCGCTGCGTGGGGGACGCGTGTCCTAACTCCAGGCTCCCTCTCCCCGGGGAAAGATCTTATTCTGCACCCTCAACAGCCACAAAGTGGACATGCAGAAGCTCCTAGGGGGGCAGATAGGCCTGGAGGACTTCATCTTCGCCCACGTGCGAGGAGAGACCAAGGAGGTGGAGGTCACTAAAACAGAGGACGCTCTGGGGCTGACCATCACGGACAACGGGGCCGGCTACGCCTTCATCAAGGTGCTTGGGGGAGGAGGTGGATGGGTGGCTTCCTGGGATCCAGCCACTGCCCCTTCTCTCCCCTTTGGGTCTACATGGGTTCTGGGGATCTGAAGTGGGTGGCTGGGGTCGCCCTGCCAGTAGCTCTGGGTCCCCACAGAGAATCAAGGAAGGCAGTATCATCAACCGGATCAAGGCGGTGTGCGTGGGAGACAGCATCGAAGCCATCAACGACCACTCCATCGTGGGCTGCCGCCACTACGAGGTGGCCAAGATGCTCCGGGAGCTTCCCAAGTCCCAGCCCTTCACCCTGAGGCTGGTGCAGCCCAAGAGGGCCTTTGGTGAGGCGGGCGGGAGCTCTTCCCAGATGGGTTCTCCGGGTGCGTGGGGTGGAGGTGGGTTGGGGATGGGACGGGCTGGAAGGTTCTAGGTGCATCCGGTGCCTGCCGAGGAGTTCTGGCAGGGCATCAGAGACAGTAGGTCATTTCTATTAATAGACTGTCATGGAGTCAGTGGGGGAGGGAGGGGGGAGGGAGGAAGGACTGGGTAAAGAGACTCCCCCAACCTGGGAGAGGGGGCGTCTGGGACCACTCTGCAGCCCGGCTGGAAGCTTTTAAAGTAGCACTTTGAGGTCATGGTGCGTTCTAGAGAATGAGAATATGGGAATGGTTTCCTTTCCTTTTTTTTTTTTTTTTTTTTTTTTGGCTTTGTCGCCCAGGCTGGAGTGCAGTGGTGTGATCTCGGCTCACCACAAACTGCCTCCCTGGTTCAAGCGGTTCTTTATTTTTATTTTTACTTTTTAAAGGTGGGGTTTCACCATGATGGCCAGGCTGGTCTTGAACTCCTGACCTCCGGTGATCCACCCACCTCGGCCTCCCAAAGTGCTGGGATTACAGGCGTGAGCCACCGCGCCCGGCCCCAAGCGGCTGTTTTGCCTCAGCCTCCCGAGTGGCTGGGATTACAGGCGCCTGCCACCACTCCCGGCTAATTTTTGTATTTTTAGTAGAGGCGGGGTTTCACCATGTCGGCCAGGCTGGTCTTGAACTCCTGACTTCAGGCGATCCACCCGTCTCAGCGTCCCAAAGTGCTGGGATCACAGGCGGGAGCCACGGCGCTCAGCCTGGGGTTAGTTCTATACCTGCTCCATTACAGCAGCTTATCCTGGACTTGTGGTTTAGTTTGCTGGGGATGGGAAGAGAGGAATCTTGAATGGGTCTCTGGAGATTCACCACACAGACATAGAGGACTTTGAAGGGGAGGAAGATTCTAGAAAGGCTCGGCTGGTGGCCTCCCAGGGTTTACAAAGATGTGGGTCCACCTAGAACTCATGGCCATCTGCTTACTGTTTCCTCAAGATATGATTGGCCACAGAAGTCGGTCCAGCAAATGTCCCATAGAGGCGAGAGTGACCAGCGGGAGGGAGACCTTGCGGCTTCGTTCTGGGGGGGCCGCCACGGTGGAGGAAGCGGTGAGTGAGGGGAGGGGTTCTTCCAAGGCTTCTGCCCCCACAGCTCTGCCGCCGAGTCAGTGCGGCCTTAGACAAGACCTCGGAGCCTCGGTTTCTCTGCCTGCAAAATGGGTCCTCGTTGAAAGATGGGGCAGTGATGTTGGTAACAGCACCCCTGACGCGTGGGAGAGTCCAGTCCGCTCTTCCCTCAGGGGTGGGGGTCGGGAGGGGGCTGGGCTCGAGGGATCCAAGGCTCTTCACCCCGACTTCCCTCCCTGGTGCCTCCAGCCCAGTGAGTTTGAGGAGGAGGCGTCTCGGAAGGTTGATGACCTGCTGGAAAGCTACATGGGCATTCGGGACCCTGAGCTGGGTAAGGGGCCAGGGTAAGCCAGGGGGCCCTGGGGGGAGGGCGGCCCATGGGAGGAGGCAGGGTCCCAGCAGGAGGTGCCCTTGCTGACCACCCCTCTGGCACGGCCCGCAGCGTCCACCATGGTGGAGACGTCCAAGAAGACAGAGAGTGCCCAGGAGTTTGCACGCTGTTTAGACTCCGTCTTGGGCGAGTTTGCCTTCCCCGACGAGTTTGTGGTGGAGGTGTGGGCCGCCATTGGAGAGGCCAGGGAGGCCTGCGGCTAGTCTGCCCCGGGGGGACCCAGCACAGCCCCAGCCCGGAGCCCAGCCCCCTGCCCCGGCCCTGCTCCAGAACCCTGTCCTTCTCTAGAATCCAGCCTAGATCTGAGGCCAAGCTATGTGCTAGTGCCCAGACCAGCTCTGAGATGATGCCCAGCATCGAGACCAAGCCCTATTCTAGAGCCCAGGCCACCCCCGAGACAAAGCTCAGCTCTAGAACCCAGATGAGCTCTGAAACCATGCCCAGCTCTAGAACCCAGATGAGCTCTGAGACCATGCCCAGCTCTAGAATTCACATGAGCTCTGAGACCAAGCCCAGCTCTATAACTCAGATGAGCTCTGAGACCAAGCCCAGCACTGACACCAACCCCTGTTCTAGAACTCAGACCAGCTCTGAGACCCAGCCCAGCTCCAGAACCCAGATGAGCTCTGAGGCCCAGCCCAGCTCTACAACCCAGATCAACTCTGAGGCCACACCTAGCCCTAGAACCCAGATGAGCTCTGAGACCCAGCCCAGCTCCAGAACCCAGATGAGCTCTGAGACCCAGCCCAGCTC